ACAATTTTTTCGATAACTCAGCCATTTCTTGACGGATCCTGCTCATCTTCGAACTCGACCGAGACATTGTTAAGACTGAACTGTGTAGAAAATTTCATCGCGATTGGACTCTCCTTTCAAAAGTTATCGTGTAAACGGCCGGACGGACATACTGACCGATTCTAGAGTGTACTCACTTTTTGAGTACACAAAAAACACTTCTATTAAGAGACGATTATTTTCTTAGAGTTTTTCAACATATTAAATTTATCATCTTTTGGTCGATAAATCGAAGTTTAATAATCTTCAATAACTTACTGATTCTATATGCTTCATTATTTCGTTTTAAATCTTCAGTTCTAATTGCCAATAGAAAAAGTAAATTAATACCAGCACTAAAATTTTCATAATTTAATGAATAAAATTTTATTATTTTTATCTTACTAAATATTTGGATCAGCAGCAAAACCTCTTCTATACCATTCAATAGCTTTTTCTAAAGAATCTATATCTTGACAAAATGATTCAGTAAATTTATCTTTATAAATTCTTCCACATAAACAGATAACATCATTTGATAATTCACTTTCAGTTTTTTTTGTTTGACATAAATGTTCAAGAATAGTTAATGCTTCATCGCGATCACCAGGTTGATTTCGTCTATGAAATAATTAGATTTATATATAATAATTAATTAAATAAAAATACTATATTTACCGACTACGAGCAAATGCAGTTAAATATGAAATCATCATATTATTTTTGATTTTTTTTCCTATTTCTCCTAATTGTTCACAACGTTGATTTAATTTTATCATTGATTCATAATCCTCAAAAATTAACAGTTATTATTATTATTATTTTTCTTTTTGTGAATAAAAAATAAATAAATTCAAGCAACAAAAAAATAATCTTACTTGAATATCTCGAAAAGCATACATTAATTTTGTAACTAATTTAGGTGTTACATATTCTTGATTTGTTTCATTTAACATTTCAAAACATACTTCATTCCATAAAAACTTTAAAAAGAAAATTAATTTAATCAAATTAAAAAAGAAACAAAATAATTCAAATATACATCATGATAAGCTTTGCTATCTTGTAGTTCAAGTTTACGTGTATTCATACGAGATATATATCGATCAGCAAGTCCTTTTCTATACAAAAAGTAAACATATAGAGATAAAATTGCACTTATTCAATCAAAATATTCATACTGAATATTATCAGCAGCTCGCTCTAAGAAGCACTTAACGTTTTTGTAAAGTAATGGGAGAGGAGATGATGATTGTGTTGTATCATAAAAAACATCTTTGCTTTCATCATATCGATAAACAATTAATAATTTTATTTTACATGTTGTCTAGAAAATAAAGAAAATATTTAGAATAAAATTTATTGATTAAAAATATTTACTTTGAGATCTTGAATAGCATTATCATTTTCTACACCACTGGCTTGTATTAATACAATATCATCCATACAATCCATACTTTCTCGATTACCTTTATGATACATGAATGTAGGACGTCGATCCGGATTTGTAACATCCTAGAAAATAATTAGATAGTAAAAAAAAAACAAACAAAACAAAAGAATCAATAAATTATATTTATCATACCATAATAACAATATCAGCATTGAGAAATTTATTAACTGATTCATGTTCTTGAAAATCGAGTTTATGTAAATCAACTGATTCACAACGATAATGAAGTTCTTCAACAATTAATTGAATCTTTTCCCATAATTTTTGTCCGTAATATTTATATGGTAGAGCATCATTTCCAGTGAGCGAATTAGACTCGGTCAACAGGACGACTTTTAAAGGACCCATTGATTAATGTCTGAAATAATATATAATCGTTGTCTTTACATTATTATTCAACTAAAAAAAATCAAATCACTATTTCTGTTATTCTTATTTTTGACATGATTTTTATTCACAAAGAATATAAAAAAGAAAAGAAACTGAATCAATACATTCATTTCTTTCTTACTAAATCAATGGTATATACATGAATTAATATCGTTCGAGAGTATAGTGAGGATATTTATCAAATGTTTGGTTCAAAATATTCAAATTAAATCAGAAATCTGCATAAAGGAAAAAATATTCATTTTTTTGTTCTTATCACCTGGATTTTTCTTTTGCGTTTCTTTTTTAAATATTTTTTGTTGTCTATCGACTATTTGCTTAGCTCTCGTACTTGAAAATTTCTCATCATAAATAAACTCAGAAGAAGGAATCGAAAAACCCAATCGATAAGCAAGCGCAAAAAAAGAGACAAATCTGATTAGAATTTTCATATCGACATCTATTCTTTAGTTGTATTGATCTGAGTATTATCCAATAAAAAAATCTATTCGTCAAAATAGGGAACATATATACATCGTCAATGGTGATGACGACGATCAAATAGAGAGAAGACAGAAAAAACAAAAAAAAAAAAAAAAAAAAAAAAAGAGATCATTTTTGAACAAATCGCGTCATCGTCGTTCCTTCTCATGTGTACTTACAAAGATTTTACGCTTCAATGGTTAGAATAAAATTTTTCTTTTTCGTGTTGGTTTTCTTTGATTGATAATTCAAACGTTTATTTTCTTTTGTTTTTTCTTTTTTTGTTATTGTAAATAATTTTATCATGTAACAATCAGCTTTTCTTCTATAAAATATTCCCTGTTTGTTTTTCTTCTTTCAATAGGATTAAACGAATTTATAAAGGTAAAAATTTGTCAAACTTTTAGAAATTATACAAATAAGTGAATATAAATTTTTTTTTTTTTGTTTTTGTTTTTACAAATATTTCAGGTAAATCTGAAAAGATTGATAGATTTTTTTTCTATAGTTAACATTGAGGACTATGAATAATCAGATTAAAGGTTTGTTTTCCATTGATTATAGATACATTAGTAAGGTTACAATTTTTTATTTAAAACAATATGACATCAAATGGGAAAAACAACAGATCTTATTGAGAGTAAAAGTAGATTTAATATTTATAAATATACAAGAGATCAGTAATAGATCTAAAGTTTTAGATAAGGGAGGTAATCATTAGACTTCGAAAACCTTTTGTTTTTTTTTATGCAACGTAACTTGATGAAAATTTCAGATGTATTTTGTATTTTTTTTTTATGATATAAATTTAACAGACTCTCTTATGCAACATATCTATGTATTCACTCACACTACTCTCAAACCTAGATATAAATCATGATAGTATATTAATCTTAAATTACATAATATCTCTGAGCATATAAACTGTCGTTAATTTATAAGAAGAAAAATTTTCGAAGTTCAACCAGTTTGATTCCATAGTTCTTTATTTTGAAGTGTATTTTCTGTTGATGAAAATAGTTCGAAAGGAAGAGGCGATCACCTGCAGTGCTCTCTTCCCCTCCTAAATCCGCTATTACAAACGTTTATCATCATATGATAGACAAGTCTGTGGGTTTAAACATACGATTATCTATTCGATCTGAAACTAAGATTGTAATTAATGATTTCATATAGCAATAGAACAGTATTTTCGACCGCAAAAATTAACTTTAATCCCGGATATTCTATCATTAAGGAAATTTCGTTTTATAATATCGCGCGTTTTAATATTTTATGTAACGAATTTAATTATTGAAGAAACATTGATTATGTTTCTTCGATTCGATGAACATCGTAATATAAATAATATGTAAGTCGGAGATTGGATTTTTTATTTGTTTTTCTCTAATTAAATGAATTTCTTTTTTGTTAAAATTATTTCATATAATAATTTTAGTTTTCTTATTGTTTAATTTTAGAATTAAATTATGCTTTTTTGGTTTTTATCTCAAACGAATGTTTTCTTCTGATATGTAAGATAATAATTTGTTTTTCTTTTTGAAAATAAAAATCTATTATTTATGTTTTTTAGAATATTAATCGATCACGATTAAATCAAGAAATTTTTAACTAATATTTGTGAGTGTGTGTGCGTGTGTGTCTTGTCACAGTAAACACAAAGGTGTGTATTTTTTATTCTTCATATAATATTAGATCCGTTTCTTATTTCGCTTTTTTTTCCTCTTTACTTGTGCCTTTATCTTCTTTGCGCTATTTAGTTCGAAAAAAAAAAAAAGAAAAGAATGTAATCATAGTAAATAGCAAAAATTCTTTTCTTTATACGTGGGATTGAGAGAACAAAAACAAAAATTCCTAGAAGGCACGTGAGTTAAGACTACTCGTGATATAAACAGATAGAAAGAAAGAGATGTCGGAATCATCATCGTCCGAGAATAATGAAGCATCATCATCATCATCATCATCTTCATTATGGTTTGAATCGTTATTTCGAAAAACAGATACACCAATCGTAACACGTAGTCGATCGAATTGTATATCGAATACAACATTACCTACAGGAGATAATTGGTCACGATTTCGACAGATTTTTCATCTTCCTGCGTTTATTTCTTCTGCAATTATGAGAGATTCTTTTCAATCATCTTTATCAAACTTTCGGTAGGTGAATTAAATGATATTGAAATGGAACACCAAAAAAAAAAAACAAAACAGGACAATAAATTTGATTATGTGATATAGAAGTTTATTTTATTAGTCACTTGATTTTTCTCAGTGATGATTATTTCTTTTTTCTTTTTTTTGCCATTACTAATTTTTGTCTAGAAAGAGAATATTGTTATTCTATATGATTCATGTCTGAGAATTTAGTTTAATGTTTTTTATTGTATGAATATAGATCGATGGGTCAATTTTTGGAAAAACCTAAAACTGAAAAACACAATGTTATTGGTAAAAATGATGATCTTCGTTATGGTCTTGGATCTATGCAAGGATGGCGGTAAAAAATACATTTAATTTTTTTTTTATTGTTTTTTCAATGATTTAAATTCGTTTAGTGTGGATATGGAAGACGCACATGCAGCAGTCCTTAAATTAGATGATAATCGTTGGTCACATTGGTCTTATTTTGGTATATTTGATGGTCATGCAGGATTTCGTACAGCTGTTAAAGCAGCTGAAAAACTTCATTCACGTATTATTTCATGTCTTAATGGATTAGTACAAGAAAATGGAAATTTAAAATCATCACAATATATAACATCATCACAACTTGATTTTAATAAATTTGAAATGGCTATAAAAGATGCATATTTTAAATTTGATAATGAATGGAGAGAAGAAAATCGTAGTAATAATCCAGGTTTTTAGTTTATTTTTAAATAAATTAATATATTTTTAATTAAAAAAAAAAATTTTTTATTTTCTATTATAATATAGATGATAAAAGTGGTTCAACAGCAATATCTTGTTTAATTGATCTTGAACGAATTTATTTTCTTAATGTTGGTGATTCACGAGCTATACTTGTTGCAACTGATGGTCGAATTTTACTTGCTACAAAAGATCATAAACCAAGTAGAAAAAATAAAAGTTTTTTGTTCTATGTTTATTCTTTAAATCTAGGTGATCAAATTGAACGTCAACGAATTCAAGAAGCCGGTGGTACTGTACTTATTCAAAGAGTAAATGGTTCATTAGCTGTATCACGTGCACTTGGTGATTTTGAATATAAAAATAATCCAAATCGTCGACCTGATCAACAATTAGTTTCACCAGAACCTGAAATTACTTATTATACACGTCAAACAAAACAAGATGAACAGATTGCTTTTATTGTACTTGCTTGTGATGGTATATGGGATGTGATTACAAATGAAGAATTAGCTGCTTATATTATTGGTCGTATGCGTGTAACAGATGATCTTTGTGAAATTACTAATTCCATACTTGATATGTGTTTATATAAAGTTTGTTTATTTTATTTTATTTGATATAAGTTAATCATTGTATTGTTCATTTTACTTTTTTAGGGTAGCAAAGATAATATGAGTTTGGTAATAATTGCATTTAAAAATGCACCAACACCAACTCCAGAATATAAAGCAAAAGATGAAGCACTTGATAATGAAATTCGTAAAAAAACTATTGGTATGAAAATAGATTTAGTTATAAATTATCACATCTTTTTATGTGATAATTAGTTTCAATTCGTTTTAAAATAAAAATCATTGACTTAAATGAAAATTTATCGGAAAAATCGGTATCCAATATAGGTAGAGATACTTATTATCGTTTTATTGACATTAGGAAAAGTTTTCATTTTATTTTCTCTTTACTAATGACACGTTCCAATTAACAGGTCAAAAAAGACGAGTCGATTCCGGCGCGAAAGTACGAGAAATGGTAAGAACGTGCAAGCAGAAATCGGTTGATTGAATCCAATCATTCGATTCTTGCTTTCAAATGACTTTAAGTTTTTTTTGAGTTTTACGGCAGGAAGTAACATCGTTCCGGCGGAAATTCGTGGATCTCATTGCCATAATCATTGACCTGAATAATTTCAAAAATACTATTTTTTAAAGTAAACTTCCTTTAAATGAATAAATTGTGTTAATTGACTATTCAAAAAAAAAAAAAAAGATACTTGAATAATATTGAATTAAAAAAAGACAACTATGAATTTCATATTTTTTAAGGATATTTCTTCTGTACTAAAAATCTAATCGAATGATATGTCTATCGTTCGATAGCTTATCATAGTCTATTTGTATAGGCCTTTTATCTTCATATTCGAGACATAATATAACTTATACAAGTTTGAAAACCGAAAGTTTACATATTTTTGATAATACTAGAAATAGTATTTATAGTTTCATGTTTGACAATCTAAGATTTATTTTCTCTTTGCAAATTGACATATGCAGTGATCCTGTACGGCTTTATTTATTAATACTTCACTGAGATATAATAGTATAAGATTGTGTAGATGCATAGACAGTTTTACAAAAAAAAGACTCTGGAATAAGAAAAGAGTCTTAAAAAAAACCAGCAATTACAATCAATGGGTGCGAATACTAAACAATTTTCAGCCTTTTTCTTTGATAGAGTAAATTAGTTTGATTAGCATCTTTATTAATAATATAGTTCCTTGATTCCTCTTCTTTTGTAGAGAATTCACTTGTTGTAACTTCATCGGTTATTTCGTTAATAATTAATGTTCATCATAATCATATAAAAATATGATAATGAAAACCTGAAGAGAAAATATTTTACTTTACATACGTACTTACAAACAATTGAAACGCTAAAGAAAACCAATACAGAATTTTGTGCGCTGATATCGAAAAGGTTAAATCGATTGTTTTGATGCTAAACATCCGAATCGAATTTTTTTTTTTTTTGTTTCGAATTATGTTTTACTTATTAAACTCATTTAGTAACATTTTTTGTTGTTTTTCATTTACTAGAAATTTACAATCGTAATCCAAATAAAACAAGTTTAGATGCTAGTACAGTTTGGCAACAAGTTATGACATCCCTTAATGAACAATCATCAATTCGTGATGCACTTCCAGTTGGTGGCGGTTTTATTGCGAAGTAAGAATAATTTGATAAACAGTATTTAAAACAAAGGTTTTGACTTTGCCATGCAAAATTATTTTCTCATATATTTCTGTTAATGGCCAAGACTGCTATTCGCAGTACACACACTAAACGTCTAGATCTAATCTGCATTTGAGTTTCAAATGATATCAAAAACCATAAAAGGTACTGTTCGACAGAAGATTTTACAAATCGAATTTCTTTTAAACAAATAATAAAATATCATTTATTAATATTCATCCATAATGATTTAATATTTTTTTTATGATTTTAACATTACTTGTCTATCTGTAATAATGATAAAGAAAAATTTAAGAATTCTAGCATAGAGTAAATCTACACGTTTAGTATGTACACTGTAAATATCAGCTTCGGTCAACACAGAAACATGCGAGAAAACAATATCCTAGGTCAATAATTTCGACTTCCGGATCCGGGAATTTCCGGTTGGAAAATGTTCGAAACTTGAAAGCAGAAATCTGGTGATCGTATCCAATCACTGAATTTCTGCTTCTAAGTTCCTAGAATTTTCCGGTCGTAGTTCGTTCACTTGGAATTGCACGGCGAAGATCAAAGTTTATTTTACATTCTTTATAAAATAAAAAAATAATTTTTTTTTTTAAATAGACGTTCTGTTTTTGAAACTACATTTGATTCAATGACTAAAGGAACAAATAATACAACAAATTCAAACAGCGGGGTAATTGAAAAAAATATTATTTCTTGTATTTAATATAAAATTACAAAAAATAAAATAATAATAAAAGAATTATAAAAATTAAACAAACCATATATATCTTTCAGCGAAATGCAACAACATCAACGCGGTATTTTTATTCCACTTTCTTCTCATAGTTATTTAATATATTCCATCTATTGGCTATTGCTCTGTATGCATCAAAATCACATATTATTATTCCCTTTACACAACAATCGTTCTGTTTCTTACGTTTTTTTCTCTTGTTTTGTTTTCTTTTTTTTTTTATGCAAATATGTTCACCAATATCACTAATTCTATTTTTGTTTCTCACTATACATTATTTTTCTTCTTGAATGCCTTACTGACACAAAACAATTATTTTTCATATAAATATGAAAGCCTAACAAAAATTATTATTTTCTTCAAAACTATGAGAATATTCCTTTCGTGGGCTGCTTCAAACTCTTTAACTTAATGCTATAAAAAGGAAAGAACGAAATACGATAATAAATATGAATATTAAGAAGCTTTTATTCTATAAAATAGAACTTAAATAACTATTGTCCATCATGTTTAAAGAAAAATTCTCTTTTGAAATTCGATAAAAAAAAAAGAATATAAATATTGTTTTCAAGTAAATATTCATATGTATAAAATTTCCTATGTAAACTACAAACAGATTTTTATAATACTAAAAAAGTTTATTCACGAACTTACTCTCGAGCTGTAGAATGCTGTCTATATATAAGAAACCTAAAAAAAGAACATTTGTGTCAAATATTTTAAATTCTCATTTCATGTCTTTTTGTTTTAGCAAAAAAAATATGCCGTCATTTTCTCTATAGGACAGATCTAATTCATTCTTATCTTAACATTCAGTCAAATTGTTTTTTTTTTGTTTTTGTTAGGACAATTCTTTTTATGCAATTAATTTGATTTTAATAACACTATTTGCATTGAAAATATTGTGTCTTATTTCTTTATTCTTAATCTTAATTTCTATACGTTTTTCTATTTATAGGCGTTAACAAATAATGATCATGATGATGAAGAAGATGAAAATGATGATGAATCAACTCCATCAAATTCTTCATCTGGCGATATTCCATCAGCAAATAGCACAATTACTGCATTGACGCAATAGCTGTTATTTTTGTTTTTCTTACATATATATATATATACCTATATATTTATATATATATATATATGTTTGTCTCTCTTTCTTGCATTTTTGGATTCAAGTAGAAAATAAAAAAAAAACATCGTCTTGACAATTATCCTGTTTCTTTTTGGTATTCTTCTTTGTACCCATCGGCAAACAACATACGTGTTTATTTGTTTTCTTTCTTTTTTTTTTTTTTTTTATTCAAGACATTTGTTCGTTCATTTACTATTATCATAACTATTTCCTGTTGTTTTGTCATCCTTTTTTTTTTGTTGTTGGTTGTTGTACGTTTAAAAACGGAAGAAAAAAGAAGACACCCACATTTATATACATATACATTCGACAAATACTATTTGATTATGAGCAGTGATCGAATTTCTGCTACATTGCCCATGTTTTTTGTTTGTTTGTTTTTTTCTTTCTTCTCTTGTATTATTTTCAATGAATAAAAAATTACATAGAACTGAAGAGCAATAAGAAAGCAAAAAAACATTATTCTATCGAGGAAAGATATGAGTGTGATATTCAATTTTTCTTATCATATTGCTGCTATTTATGACTCATTCTGTACGTATATATGAACCAATCGCAAGTACAGTAAGAATACTGTTCTCAGATCTTGTTTGGAAGCTGCTTGAAGTAATTCATAACTTTTCAGCTCATATTTTCGACACAGAGAGATAATTTTGAGACTAGAATAACACTAAAAAATATTCCAATCAATAAATCTTCTCTACAAGAGTACGACTATTTTCCTGAATTCTTACTATAGGATAAACTTTTGACAGAAAAATTTAATACGTTTTTTTTTATTTGAAACTTTCTCTATAATTAGAGCTCATCATCATAAGAATATTCTAAATTTTTTAGCTAAAATCATAATTTTCTTTATCTTTCTAAGCCATGGCTTTGGTTGTCATCACCACTTTTACTTGTGCAATCGACTTCTCATTCTTATCATCTATCGCACACTAATAATAAACTCAAAGACTTTTTGATTCTAATACTTTACAATCATTACGAAGGTAAATATTCTAATCTGAAAAAGATTTATGATTAAAATCTGACCGTTCAGAATACATCCAATAAAGTAGTTCAGAATTTTTTCGCAAATAACAAAACTACATGCTTAAATTAGTAGCATGTGCATCATAAAAAGGAGAAGCGCGCAAAGTGCAGAGTCAAATGTATGACTCAGCTGGTCAAAAACACAGGAATATTAGCAAAAGCGACTGTAAATAATGATGCAGGGTTTTAATATCCCCCTCACTCGACTCAGTTTCTTACGCTGAATATGAATTTCAATTACTGCATTTTAATTAGGGATTAAACACTATTGGAGGTGACAATACATTAGAACAGTCAGGTAAGTATAGGTTGTAGATTTGGGTGTCGGTGTGAATGTAGGTATGAATGAAGAATAAACCCACAATGAGACGTGCATCCACACTCTGACCTGTATCCACTTTTACACTTTGACTTCCAGACTCTTCCACATTCGCGCTCACACGTACTTTCACACCCCCAATCAAGCACGAATGACACACCTTTCGTATGAGACAGATAGTTATTTTCAAAAACGCGTTTTAGATAGACACATACAGTAGGGCAAAATAATTTAATCATTGTTTCTAGACCGTAGCTTTTCAGTTTCGGGAAGATGCTACCCCATAGTTTTATTGTTCATTCCACTAATGATTTTCAAGAGTCAACGCGCCATCGCAGATGATAGAAACGTCTATGTTCAAATGGAATTTCAGCGGCCGCACGGCGAACTAATGTAGTTGCAGGTCTTGCACGATTATGATGTCCGATATTTGCGACTCTTTCAACCGATTCGGTATTCACCAACGCTACCGAACTTCGAACTTCAGTTGACTCTACATTATTTGTAGAACTGAAATTGTTTAATCTTGTCGGCAATATTTCATGATTATGATAAGTGCTTTGAAGTTGTGGCGGAGTGATTGGTATAAGACCACTAGGGTGCCGATTGATAGTTTCTAAAGATAAATCGTTTTCCGTGTCTTCTCCAGTAACTATCAATTCGAGCCCATTATTTATATTTTTGAGAGTAACTGTGAATTTCGCCAGCTTTTTGAGATGGTTCAATAAGTCTTCCCATCGTTCTAAATCAATTTCATCAAAAGCTTTCATTCTTTGGCGTGCCTCATTGAGTTGAGCTGTTAACATGCTTAACTCTTTCTTTTGTCTACAGAGACGTATTCCGACGACATCGATAACTTCTTCTCGCATAAGAGTCGCTGTTTGCTTAATATGCTCTATTTCGTCTTGCTCCCATAAATCTATGTCAGTGAAACAAGCATCAAATTGCGAGTTTAACAATTTTTCATCAAGTTTTCTTGAAATATCTTCATGGTGGGCAGCAAATGAATTGAATTGCGCGTCAAGCGCATTTTGATGCTCATCACTATGACGCTGGCAAAACTTTTGATGGCATCCGCAGCAAACGAATAATGCATTTTTGCTGCATTTAACACAATGAGCCATCGATGAAAACGAGAGCATTCTGTTTATTGATGATGTTCAATTGATTCTGAAATAGGAGATATTTACAAATTAAAAAAAATTATTTTGGTAAACGAATCCCTGAAACCATTGGATGTTAGTGGTACAACGTTATCAGTTGACAATCTCCGATTTTGCTGATTTTTTTAAATATGCGTTAGAGGACAGTGAGTTATGTATCTTCTAAAACTTCCAATCCTATTCGATAAGTTTCTGAAGCGCAGTACTCAAAACACGGATGCATTTTTATAATGATAACTTTATCCTTAATGTTTTCATGTTTTTACAAAAAAAAAGAAGTTTTTGCATTTTGACTCTATAATACATCGAATTTTGATCCCTCTGGATATAATCATCAATTAATTCTACTACGAAATATATAAGTTCAAAAGTTTCCATCAACTAGATAAGTCGCATAGCTTGATCTCAGAACAACCATAGTTCACATTTTTCTGAAAAAGTCAGCAAAATGTCAATAAGACGGTTTCAAAATTTTACCACAAACAGAACTCGTCAAGCTGTATCTATACCAACAATGGTACAAAGTCTCTGTCAAGCAACATCGTTGGGTGTTCTATCTTCTATATTCTTCATTAACTACTCGTGTATTGATTGTTGGACACCAATGGACACACGGAAAACAACTGCCCAATGTCACAGATCATAAGAGGCAGACAGAAGATGATGGTATATGTGATCCTTAAGCATAATATGATTCATGTGAATAGAACTCTTGTTTGCGTTCTGAACAAATCCACTATGTGTTAGATTTTAATACCGTAGGGATTACATACTGAAAACTTTCTGTATTATTTTCATAAGATTTACATCTCAAACAGGATGAATGTAGTGGATTTGAAAGTTTTACTGTAAATGGATAATATAGACAAGGAGTCATAGGAAGCAATTAATTCAAACAAATGAGCTTCTAGTAAGCAGTGATGATCGCTAGAGACTTCCAAAAATGTCTTTTTTGCATTTTCTACACGGTATGCATCTTGATTGGTCGATGATAAAGAATTGAAATTTAGGGTCCAAAGAGATCTTGTTGAGAAGTCATCACAAAAAGAAGCTTTCAGCGTAATCTCTACGATTTTAAAATGGCAAACGTGTTGGGTTTGCTCTCCTAGTTGAGAAAAGCATTAACCATATGAATCATGACGACATTTTCAAAATTTGTCGATTTTATCTGTCTATGTCCATAGAGCAAGGTGATGATTTGGGTCACTTTTCTCGCTATATAATCAACACTTATGGATAATCGTGTTCCATAGAAAGATTGATGAGAAATTCGACGAATCCGATCTCTTAGACAGAAAATTTGATTTTAATTCTCGCAGAATCCTGCCATTTTAATCAATTCTTAATCAAAACTAAACGAGCAGAATTTAATTTTTCGTCAGAAATGTTTACGTAGATAGTCAATGTTTTGCTTTACTCTCGTTCGAAAAAAAATTAGCTAATGAAATATATAGACAAGACATTTTTAGCAGCAAAAAATATCAAGGCTAGGAGGGGTTCTATAAACGCCTATCTATGACGCTGCTTCCTAATATAAGAAATCATTATGGGAACGTTAGTCTGGCATCAATTTTATTCTAATATTCAAAATCTATTCATTCAGAGAGCTAAAAAATTTTCCGTTGATTGGCTTGGGACACACTACACAAGAAACAAGGAGTCATAAAAAAAAGGATCCAGTAGAAGGAAATATTATACGTAAGACCTCGAGCTCACAAATAGATTTTATGAGAAAGAAGGTTTTAACAAAAATCAATGTCATCTGACGGGAGAAAGATACGATTCTTTTCCAAAGCCTACCTACTGAAACTTGCCGAACAAAGTTTAATGAAATGAGAGAATAATCATGAATCTCAAGCTTTTTTTAATACTTCCTTGCTTTGTCAACAAAGTCGACATGGTATTTCGCTGAAAAAAGTAATAATTCAACAATGCATAATGCTGAATCATTATTCTGTACAGAGAAACACCCCATGTGTTTTATTGCCGATCAAAGAAGCACAACAAATTACCTGTCTGCAATATTTAATGAGTAGGAAGAAAGACAAAAATAAAGTTTCTTCTTAATGTTTGCAATCACGCAGTAAAAAGTTTTCAGCGACTATAAATTGTCAAGAAAATTGACACTAAGTGGCGTGTGGATGTGAGAGGAAGGGATTAAATGATGCACACGACAGATGGATAAAATTAGAATAATCACGGCTCGGCTAGACTCAAATCTAATGGAGTCAAGTTGTCATGCATCAACTTAGAAAGATTCTGTTTACTTTCTTCTTTTGACCAAGTTAAGATAATCAATGTCCAAGACATGGTATATAGGAATAGAAGTGCAGAAAAGATCTGTATATTAAGCGTAGTGTTTACTGTCATCAGACAAAACTTGGTGCTGAGTCCCGCGACCAGACTATTAAGAGAAGCCAAAGGTTCCTCATAGAACTACTCAGAGATCTATTCCAATTGCGGCTTTTAACAAGAAATGTATTTAAACTATTCTCACTACATCGTTTTGGCATACAACTTGCAAGACTGTCCTTTCGAGGTGCCTAGTTTTGAATGCTGCAAGTAACTCATCGGTAAATTTATGTAAGAAATGATATAGAAAAAAGTTACAAATGGATGGCTTGAATTAGGATTGTCGTATGAGAATTATCATTATTTTTCATGCAGGTTTTTGAGCATTATCTAGAAATTATACTTGCAAAATTTTCAAGGACTATTTCATCATCGTATTTGTGATTTTTCTTTTTGGAACTATTTGTATGTGTTATTTATGATTTTCTTATCGATTGGTATTCTTTCAATAAATGATTAGTTTATCAAGGTCATGAAAAAATTATGACATGAGGGTANATAGTTCACTTTAAAAGGAGACGAATTATTAGTAATTATGTAACCTTTTTCATCATGAACGCAAAAGTGGCGGGCTAATAATCCACAAACGAAGGAAACTGATAAAGGTATCAATACTATAGTTAATAGAGTAAGCAAAAACAATGGAGTAATAAAAGTCTTTGGATAGATAACTATTGTTGAGATCACTGCAGCAATCCTATACAATATAGTGATCACAAAAATGAACAAATCTATAGTTTGTTTCCACGGTTTAGAATAATCACCAGCCACATCACCTGGCAAACATTCAACAGTGGATGATTTTTGACTTATCAACGGTGTCTGATAGTTGTACTTACCTTGTAATGCTGATATTTTTTTTCTGAGCTCTTTTTTTCGTTTGATTTCTTCGGATGTTGGAGGACGAAAAATAATTCGTAGCGCAAGCCAACTGACAAATAATGAACCAACATTTATTACTACAATGATAATTATTTGAGATACAGTTAGATTTGGCCATAAATTTTCATTGACATTCGACAGTACTGTTATTTGGCGGCTTTTTTTCATAATTTTATTTGAATTTTGTATGAGGATTTGATAGAACTGATATATCTATTAAAACAGAAAAATAATATAGTATTCTGGATATCTTACGCCCATAAGTATATACAGAAAAGCTTTTCACCGAAATTTCTACACAATTCAAATGCGAAACACAATGAATTCGTTCCATTTGTAAACGAAAGTCCTACTCACATTGATCATATTATTTTCGATGATGAGATCAACTAACAGATCTAAATGTTTCTTTTGGTCTGTAACATTGGAAAATCTTATCCATTCTGTATGTCTGTGAGGCAGTGTTGGGGAGTAGTCCTCACTTTTTTCGCTATATACTGCAAATTTCATTTCCAATTGTGTTTTACAAAATGATCTGTGTTGAATTATCTGATAGGAATATAATTGAAGAGAATAGCACAACTGTAGGATATATTTGTGTAAAGTATCAATAGAGTGAATATTAAACAAAAGAGTAAAATGTTCTATTACAAGTAAGTAAGGAAAAATTATAACTTTTTAAAGGCATCGTTTAATATATAGAAAGTTTTTTGATAAAATATTTGGAATTTAACCATTATGGAGAACAATTTTCAGATGTAGCCTTCGTCACAGTATCTTAGATTCTTTTTCGAAGAGATAAGAATTTTCATTGTTTAAAAGATGAGAGATGAAACTGCATCGAATAGTGTATATTAGATTTTTTTCAAAATTTGTCTCAGATTTTGTCATCAAGTTTATTTAAAACAAAATATTGTGTAATGTAAAAGTTTTAGAGTTTTAATTTTCATCAATGCATTAGAATGATTAATTAAAAATCTACGAATTATGTAAGTCTGATGTTCTAAGATTTAGTCAATCATGAGTTATAAATATTTTACTAAGTGTTGTTATGAGCAGATTTTTCATAAAAAAATTTACTTTTTTTCTGATTTTCTGGCGAAAAATCCATCTTATAAGTCTCGGTATTTTAAAAAGCTTACCAGAAGACTCTGAGAACACTTGTTGAAAAACTCTGATAAACACCATTCGATGCAGTTTTATCTCCTATTTTAAATGATGAAAATCGCAGATCTCGATATTGTTCGTATCAAAAATTATTCTAAAAATTCTTATCCTTCTTTTATTTTGAGATGGATAATACTTTCGCTTGGAATTCTGTGAAATCAGATTGAAATTGTAAAATATTTATGAAACCATAGAAACTGAGCTGAATTCACAGTCGAAAATAGCAGATATGTGAATTTACA